TCACAAACAAATTGTCACTATCATTCTTCTTTGATCAATTGGGGGAATATTTATAGTGTACTTGGACTTCAGCAAAGTGGTTGTCAAAAAATTTTCCTTAATAAAATGTTAAAATATTAGTGATACTATTAGATGTACTCATAACTGTCTGAATGACTGCACCCAAAAATGCTTGTAATGCTCCAGCTTGGTGGGAAGTAGCAAGTGGAGCATCACAGGCTCTATCCTGGGACCCGTGCTACTCAACACTTTTATCAATGACTTGGATGAGGGAGTTGATACTTATCAAGTTTGCAAATTACATAAAGGTGGGTGGGATGGGAAGAGAGAGGATTTAAAGAGTTCTACACAGGCTTCAACAGTGAACTGAAATGAATAGGACAGAATTTAACTGTGAAAAATATAAAGTTATGCATTTCGGTAGGAAGAATTAAAGGCATAAATATTGGATGGGGAGACATAACCTAGTGGCACGTATATGAAAAGGATCTGAATGTACTTGTGAACTACAAGCCAGCAGTGTAATGCAGCTGCTAAAAAAACAAATGGGGTGCATTAACAGGAGCACCAAGTCCACATCACAGGATATACTGTAATTGTGCTACTCTACTCTGTACTCGTCAGAGCTTGAAATATTGTGTCCAGTTTTGGTCACAATAGTTCAGAAACAGCAGTGACAAATTGGAGGAAGTTCAGAGGAGGGATATCAAGATGGTGAAGTGTCCAGAAGCTAAGTCCTATAAGAAACAGATAAAGGATCTAGGTGTTTAATCTACAGAACAGACAACTGAAAGGAAATATGATCACAGCCTCCAAGTATCTGAACATAGAGTGGATTTATTCTCTATTGTCCCAGAGCACCAAACCAGAATCAATGGATTAAAACTACAAGCAAGTATGGTAAGGCTAGATATCAGAAGGAACTGCTGACTGTACAAGCTTTCATTCAGTGAACAGGCTACCACGTGATTTCTTGATTCTCCTTTGCTGGAAATCTTCAATCAGAGGCTGGATATCTGTTGGAGATGCTTTACTGGGTCTTGCACTGAGAAGCAGGTTGGACTAAATCACCTCTAACATCCCTTTCAACTGTATAGTTCTAAAAGATCTACTTACAAATAAAACTTTTACTCTGTTGACAAAAACAACAGATAATGAGGAACAGCAAAACAGTAATCATACCTTAATGAAAGGAACCTTCTCCACTATCAGGTGATCAGAGGAGCTGAGGCTAGGAAATGATGCTTCTTTATTATGGATCCCTCACTGTGGAATAGTTTACTACTACAGATTAGTCTGGTTTCAACTCAGCCTTTCAGAAGTTAAAATTGAATTCTTCCATTTTAACTAATTAAATTATACAAATAGCATTGCAGAATTGTTTATGTGCTCCCATTTTAAAATAATTTAATTTTGTTATGAATGTTTTATTATTTTTGCTTTATTGTTTTATGGATGTTTTTTCCCTGTAAACCGCTAAGAGTCACATGACTGTACTGATTTAAAAACAAATGTCATCTAGTTTCAGATAGTAACTCATGGACCAAGGAGAAGAAGCAGAAGAGACACAGAGAGGCACTTCTGATATTGACTGAATATGCAGAAAGAAATATACTGTAGTGGAAAAAACAGTCCTTAAGGTATCTTCCTTATAAACCAATCAGGTCTTTAAAAGTAAGAAACAGGACTTTGAGCAGAGTCCAAAAACAAATAGGCTACGGTAACAAATGAAGGTGGTACAGAACTGTAGTAATATATTCTATCCAGACCAGCTGTCGCTTATTTAGAACCAATCATGTGCTTTTCTAAGACATACCACACAGGGAGTATTAAAATTGCTTATATGTATGTAAATAACACACAAATGCAAATGACACACAAATACTTTTAACAAAGTCTGCTTTCTTCTAGCATACAATATGGAATATTTCAAGGTCCATTTATAAAACTCAATAGTCTACCTTCAGTGGTAGAAATCCAATGAAGACCATTTCTCTGCACACATCATCATAAATTTAAGTAGTATTTTAAAGAGTAACATCAAACATCTACAGCAAAAGAGACTATATCCAGAGAATACAGTCCCTGCCACAGATCAAGCAATATAACTCAATATATCACAACAGAGAGCAGAAGCAACATGAGCAGTTTGTTTGAGCTGACGTGAGACCATAACCTAAGTATTCTATTAAATATTATAACTGAAACTATGCTCGTTATAAATTTTGATAATTGTATTTGCATGATGCTCATGTTTTCAAATGCCTGCAATCATATTTAATTTACTTCACATTCCTTAAAAAAACAAAATGCAATTTAAAAAACACGTGTGAAATTGCTCAACAACAAACAATCCTAGATATACATTATAGGGCAGAATAAATATTCCAGTCTGTACATTTAAATAGTAGAACAAGGATGCCTGTGATTACTCAAATGGCTAGTCAAGATATGCAGCCATGAACCACAATCAAGATTCATTTGATGATCTTCAAGTATATATTTTTGTTAGTTAACAACAGAAGATAATCCACATAAAAGACAGATCATCATGCAGACTCCATGTGTTCCATTTGCAAGGGTGTTTCCAGCTGATGTTTTTATTTTGCAATCACTCTTCCTCATGCACATAACTTTATGGATGATACAGGTGTTGTTGTCTTCCATTTACAACCCTCCTGCACTAAAGAAGAAAGATGGACTAGCCATACAGCATCTTTGAAAGATGCTAGAAACACTTCATTTGAAAATACTCCAAAATCTATGCAGTTATGAAGATATGTTATTTTGTTAGCTCATCATGCCTTATTTATCTTTTTACACATCTTCCTAAGCCTGAAAGTACACCGCTGTAATATTATTTATAATTTGAAACTCATTTCCATAAAACTCCTTGATTGTAATCTACCACACCCTCTCTCTACTTCTTCTTCTTCTTGAAAGAGTTACTATGATTATTTATGGATTACAGAAAGCTTACAGATAGTCCTCAACTTATGACCATTTGTTCAGTGGTCATTCGAAGTTATGATGGTGCTGAAAATGGACTTATGACCAGTCCTCGAAGTTACAGCTGTCCCAGCACCCCTGCAGTCACATGATCACAATCTGGCTGCATGGTAACCCATACACACTTATGACTGATTGCCAAGTGCCCCATGATCACATGGTTGCCATTTGCAACCTTTCATGCTGGCTTCCCCAGAAAGTCAAAGGGGAAGCGGGCAGGCAAGATCACAAGTCACTGGAGTAAGTCTCCCCCACCCATGCACCCTCTCCCAGCCTCTCTGTGCTAGTGCCACACCAGCCACTTGTGCACCCCCATGCACCCTCCCCAACCCACACTCTCTCCCTGACCCACATAGGACCTCTCATGCACCACCTTGCACTCTCCCTGACCCGTGTGGTGCCTCTTGTGCACCCTCCCCAACCTGCACAGTGCCTCTTGCGCATCCCCTCCAACCCTCCCCCACATATCCACCCACCCCTTTGTTCCTTTCCCCACCTGGCAGCAGCCACTTACCTGCCTGCGGGCCTGGGACTTGCAACTTCCTGCTGGCTTCCCCACTGACTTTTTCCCAGACAGACCCAGTGCGTAATTTGGGGGTCCTCCGGGACTCACGGCTCCTACTCGAAGAGCAGGTGGCAGCCGTGGCCAGGAGGGCTT